AGAATTTTTGGATTTAATTGAAATTATGCGAGTTTTTTGGCGAAAAAAAGCATTTGTGGAAATTTTTGCAAAAAACGCGAACTATTCCGAATATTTGTGTGTGCAAAGTTTTGAAAAAAAAATTTCGAATCCCCTCAGGCGAAAAAACACATCCTCTGTTATGAATATTCGAACTTTTTGGGTATCTTTTTTTTTCAACTTTTTCTTTGAGGGGTAAATATACAGGAAAAAAGCTTTTTTTGAACTTTTTTGGATTTTTCCATGGGCCCAAAAAAACAGATTTTGAAGAAATAGTCAAAAAATCCAATTTCAGCTCTTTTTTTTTGTTTCAAAATCGGACAGAATTGGGTTTTAAATTGAATTTCGCTTGAAAAAAAATCATTTTAGCGATTCTGAAATTTTCGACTTTTTTTTGCAATTTTCAACACCCCAATATTTTTGAATTGAAAAATTCTTCAATTTTTTGTTTTTTTTTAATCCCCAAAATAAAAGCATAGAATTTGTATATTTCTATAATAAAAAAATCAAAAATAAAAAAAAGAGGTCAATTTTTTGGTTGCGTATCAATCATATGCAAACCCACCGTATACATTAAAGGCGCAGGCAGAAAAAAATGAAACCGATTTTTTTTACCTAAATTATTCCAATTTCTGAAAATTTCATTTTGAGTTTTTAATAAAATTATTTTTTCCGAAAAATTGGCAAAAGAAAATTTTGAACGAGGTCTCGCCGCGCGCGGTGTGCGCCTTTAACCGATCCCTACGCATAGGCCCGTAAATCTACACCACTAGTTTTGCGCCAAGACCTTTTCTTGGCATTTCGCCAATTTTTCAGCGCTCGCGAAATATAATTTTTTTTTAATTTGTCACAAAAAAAATTTATCAAAAAAAAAGGTGCACTTTTTTTTTCCAATATGAAACACACATGAATAATTCGACGAAAATTGGTGACGGATTTTTTTTTGTGTGTGTGTTGGGCCGAAACGGAAATTGCATGAGTCGCACAAAAAAAAACCCGCACCCTCAAAGCGAATGGGTCCCCAATAGAAAACGAAAATTATTTTTTTTTGGCGTGGCGGGACCCTCTCGAAATTATTTGGCCAACAATTTCGATGAGTAATTCAATTTCCGTACACTTATTCATTAAAAAATTGCTCATTCAGTTTCGGCTCCGAATTGGATTTGTTGCTCGCCGCTTTTTCTCATCTTCCCCCCCCCCTCCTTCGTCTTTTTTGGTCCCAGCCTTTTTTTTCTTCGACGACGACGACAACGAATACCAATGTTTAGTGTCTATTTTTATTGTTGGTCTCTGTTTAAAGGAGCATGCTGCTTCGCCACGCCCACTTTTGCCTTATTCGATGCTTGTCGTGTCAATTTTATGACTTTCCCCCTCCCCCTCCCCCCGTGGTAACGCTTAAAGGAGTAGGCTATAACTTCATTGCCTCATGCTCCTTTAAACATGGTCTTGAGACGATCAATAGAAAAAAAACTGTGCAAAAAATCGATCTTTAAAATTTTTTCAAACGAATTCAAAATCATTTTTATTTTTTAACAAAACGTCCGATAAATTGCGGGATTTTATTGAAAAAGTGCCTTCCGCAATTTTGCGTCAAATCAAGTGTTTCGCGGAATTTCTCGCCCCGGCCTCGATTCGTCAAAAAATTCATAGCTTAAAATCGGATATAATTGGAAAAAATCTGAAATTCAAGAAGCAATTTTTTGTCTAATTCGTAACAAAAAAATGGCGGAAATGTAATGAATTGGCGCTAATCCCCCCCCCGTGTACTCGGCTATTTCATTTCGCCCCTTATTGTTTTTTTTTTTGTCTTCCTCTTCGACGTCTCGACTCCGTTCAACGATCGCATTTTTGATGTTTGAATTCCGCCATTATTATTATTATCATTTTCAGATTTTCTTTTCACAATCTCGAGGTATTCATTCGACGCCATTTTTGCAAACTCGCTTTTCTCACAATTTCTTCTTTCACTTTTTTTTGCCGCGTTTCGCGAAATTGCGAGCCGCACATCTGGAAATACTGCTACAGTAATCTAATATCACAAGACACGCTATTCTCAATAGTACACACAGCTCTCAATACTGCTACCGTAATCTTTTCTTTGTCATAAGTTCTGTAGGCTCCTTCTGCTTTCTTAAAATCGCGCACAGCTAGACACGCTGCTACAGTAATCCTTTAAGCTGAGAAGCTACGAGATCACACTTTAAGTATGACATATCCATAATTCAGCATGCGCCTTTAAACGTATCATTGCAGAAGTTTTTTGCTAAACAAATATGTATATATATTAATTCGAGGAAGATAATAATTCTCATCTGCGGACATTTTCGGTTCTTTGATTTTTTGGGTTTTTTTTCGCTTCATCAAATTTTAATGAATTCGACATTTTCGCGAAAAAATTTTTATTTTTTTATTTTTCTTAAAACGAAATCTGGTTTTTGGATTTTTAAGATCTCATATTAGTCGATTAGAGATCAATTCCCATTTATGGCTAAACTTTACACTGATTTGATTGTGGGCGCTTTTTTTGTGAGTTCTGAGAATTAATAATTCCGGAGATCAAGTTTCGCGCCTTTGGTCTCGCCACGATGACTACAGTAGTCCGATTTGTTGTTTTAATTGTTGAAATTTATATATGGAAACTTGTCTTTTAAAGGACCATTCAATTTATTGATCAATTTTACCAAAAAAAAATGTTTTTTCAATTTTAAGACAAAATTTTGTTTTAAGGCAATTTCCGACTTTTTTTGGCTCAAATTTTTCATGCAAATTTTTTCTTGAAATTAATCATGCATGTTTTGATAGAAAAACTGAATGATGGGCATTTTTCTGAAATTCTCTTGTCAAAAATTTTTCAGATTCAATTATTTCCTAGAAGCGAATTTTAGACGGCGTTATTTTAAATGGAAATTTCCAAATTCGGTGGCAAGATTTACGGGGCATGCGCCTTTAAAAATGGTCTTGTGACTTTTGAATTTTTAATTTTTCTTGATAACTTTGTTATTTTATTGAATTCTTAATATAAATTAAATTAAAAATTCGCAAAATGGTCCATAAATTGTCAAAAGCCAGATAGTCGGTGCGAGACCATAGAAAAGGCGCATGCGCGTAAATCTACCCAACAAATTCTGGAAATCTTGCAAAAAGTGGTGCCAAAATGAGTCGAGCTTTTCCTTTTCATCAATCGATTTGTTCTCATGACGTCAGATGTTCTCAACTCAATTCAACACTTTATTCGATTTGCCGCGAATTTTTTTTTGTTTTCGCGTTTTAACCTTTCATTAGGAAAATGCGAATATCTCACAATTGAGTTGATAGAAAAGCTTCTCGCCAAAAAAAAAATTCGAAAACAACAATTCGGTTTTGAAACGAGAAGCTGGAACATCATTTTTTTTGAAATATATTCGAATTTTCGAGAACTCCAAACAATTGCCCCGATTTTTGTGACCCTAGCTGGATTCGTCTAATTTCGTCAAACTGTTTGAGGTTTATTTGAGGAAAACGATTTGCCGACCGGAAGAGTGTCCGCAGATGAATTTGCTGATATCGTGAATTGAAGTCAATCGAATTGAAGCGGGCAGCTCAAACATTTTTTTTCAAAAATATCGTTTTATGTTCAATTCTTGAAGCGAAATTATTAGATGGTCTCATGCGCCTTTAATGTATACTGTAGCTTTTGAGTATTGTCTGATACTCAGTAAAATCAGAAATGCGAAGTCGGCAATCTTCGAGAAGACTTCAAATATCCTTTTTGTGTTAGTATGAAGGAATCTTCTTGATTTGTCAAATTTTTATTAATAGTAGTAACAATACATGCAACATTAATAGCAAGTATAACAGCAGGCATTTCAATATAATCATCTGCGGACGTTTTCCTGTGTTGCTGCTTGACTCACAGAATTTGTGATTGCATTTGATTTTCGATGAAAAACACTGTCAACTAGAATTACTCCTTGAATTTTGAATTTGGATGTCCGAATTCCGATTGTTCAAATTCGAATTTGAATTACCGCCACGACAAAGTGCGATGGTCCACAATTATGCGAGGCACTCGTTTTTTGCGATGATAATATATTTAACAAAATTTCATGGCTTCAAAATTAGAATTTTTTAATTTTTGAGTCGTCGGTGTATTCATATCAAATTTCACTTCTAATTTCATAAGAAAACTATCCAAAAAATGCCAAGAATGAGAGAAAGTGACGACACTCCGCGTTTACGCCGCCCTTTGTTTAGTGAAAATAAATAGTGTCGGCGGCAATTCAAACAAAAGATCTGCGAGAGGGCCTTGTTTCTTTGACAACTCTGGTTGAAACCAAAATTGACGAGATGCGACGAAAAAACCGTAGGGAAATAAGTGTAGGGAAGTGAAAAATGTAATGTTTTGAGAAAAATTAAGAGGAAAAATAAAAAAGGGTTCGGTAAAAGGGTCCAAAATTAGGTGTGCATCGAAAAAAAGTTAGCTTAGAAAACTAAGCTCTGGACCCTCAAAATCGGCGACCATTTCTCTAAGAAATCTGGTTTTTCGTCTCATCTCATCAATTTTTTTTTAAATTTTTTACTATTTTATTATTTTTCTATTCCCTTGTAATAGTCAAATCAAGAAGATTCCTTTATACTAACACAAAAGGATATTTGAAGTCTTCTCGAAGATTCCCGACTTCGCATTTCTGATTTGACTGCGTACCAGACAATGCTCAAAAGCTACCGTATACATTAAAGGCGCATGAGACCATCTAATAATTTCGCTTCAAGAATTGAACTTAAAACGATATTCTTGAAAAAAGAAATCGAGAATTGAAGTTTGGCTGTTTGTGCTGCCCGCTCATTACTTCAATTCACAATATCAGCAAATTCATCTGCGGACACTCTTCCGGTCGGCAAATCGTTTTGAGGCCCCCGAAATCGTTGATTTTGAGTCGTGTGAAAATGTCTCAAATCCGATGGCACTCGTTCTCTCATTTTGCAGTTTCAGCGATTCCGACATGTCGCCGCCGCCGCCGCCGCCGTCCGAAGAGATTTGCCAGTTTCGCGCCACCACTGAGAACTACACGATCGTCGTCGCGTTCATCATCATATTCTTGTTGTCGGTGATTGGCAACCTTCTAGTGCTCATCGTTATAGTCAAGGTAAACGCAAAGGGACCCCTTGGAAAAATCAAACCGGAATTTATATGGACCAAAAATGTGCGGGGAAGCCTTTTTGTCCGGTGGAAAATTTTTGGCAATAAAAATTATTTGCTTTCATTTTTCTCAAAATCGCCAAGAAATGACTATTTTGACCAATTTCGTCTCATTTTTCACATGCACCTTTAAAACCCACAGTAATCTTCACTCGAAAAATGTGAAGCCGTGAAATTTAAATCCCCCATTCACCTCAAATTTCTCCTTATATGGTCCAAAAAAAAAGAATCACTCAAATCGCAAAGAAACGAGCATTTTAACTAATTTTGGACCATTGCAAGGCGGCAATTCAAAATTGAATTGGGTGTCCGAATACTACAAAAAAAAGAGCTAATTTTATTGATGCACAAAAAATGCGTCAGCAAACCGCACCATGGCGTCAAACTTGTGCGCTTGGAAAAAAAGAAAAATTTTGATGCGAAATTTGAAAAAATTGATTAAAGCGGCCATTTGTCAATCAAATTTCAGCAACGCGCGATGCGCTCCATCATCAACATCTACCTGATGAATCTGGCGGCGAGCGACATGATGCTCTCCGTCGTCTGCATGCCGCCAACATTGGTGTCGATGGTGATGAATTGCTGGATGTTCGGCAATTACATGTGCAAAATTCTCGCCTACCTCCAACGTTCGTCGCCGCTCTCAACATTCCGATAATAATTGTTTCTGATCATTGTTCAGCTGTCGTCGTCACCGCGTCGGCGTACACGTTGGCCGTCATCGCGTTCGAGCGATACTTTGCGATATGCAAGCCGCTGCATTCGAGGATATGGCAGACGCGATCGCACGTATACGCGATGATCACCTTGGTTTGGGTGATTGCCATCGTCGCCAATATTCTGATGCTCTTCATGTATGAGCAACAGACCTACAATGAGAACGGCTACATGTGTGCACCCATTCATCCTCCCGTCTACCATTTCGCCTATCAGGTAGCATCATAACGCCTTCTCGTCGATTCCCCAATATTCAGGTTTATATGACGGTGGTCCTTTTGGTCATCCCGTTGTTCGTGATGATGGTTCTCTATGGGCATGTGATCAGCTCGCTGAAGACGGGAATCAAGCTCGAGATCGCCGCTGTCGTTGACGCCGCCGCTTCGGCGCCCACCACAGGTCATCTGACGTCGTCGCGCTCGTCGCACAATCTGAGCGTCGGCAGCGTTCTCGTCGGCAGCACGTCGCTGGCGCGCGCCGCCTCATGCGTCGCTCTCTACCCTTTGTCGAGTGTCGTGAGTTCAGAGCCGACGCCGCCTCCACCGTCTCAATGGCTTGTGCCGCCGACGACGATTCCAATGAACGGACGACGGCGATCCACCGGCGTGATGACGACCGGTCCAGGTGTTCCTCGTGAATTCTTACCCATTCAAATTTTGTTTCGATTCAGTTACCTTACCCATTATAGTGTCGATGAATTTCAGAGTTTTTTTTTTGCCCCTTCCTGTAATTCCATTGTTCTACCGATGGTCTCAACACGTGTGACGTGTGTGCGTGAATACCCTAACCGTTTGAGTTCGATGCCCTTAGTTTCGATTTGCCAAATATTCGAGATTCTCCTCGACGCCGTCGAATAATAACTTTTGCCCGATTTTCAGCCGTCATGTCGACGTTTCCCGATGATCACAAGTTCAATGTCTGGCAGAAATTGTCGCAAAAATTCAATTTCGGCCGAAATGAGAAATGGTGAGTCGATCGAACCTCGATTCTCGATGTTTTTTGCCGATTCCAGCTCGAGTTTGCCGGCGTCGCAACGACGAAAAAGCGAGGCGTCGGTGTGTGCCGACAATCCGAGTTTGAGATCGACGCATACGCAGAAGACGGCGATGGCGAAGCAGAGGGTTATTAGGTAATCGATTCAGGGCATTTCAACGAAAAAAGAAAGAGCAGAAAATTTGAAAATGGTGAAGCCAAATCCTGAAATTGAATTGAAATTCGGAATAATGTTTCAAATAATAAATTAATATTTTTTTAATTAAGTAATTTTCCAATTATTTGTTTCATATCATTAGCATTTTGTGGATTAACTTGAAATTAAAATTTCGGTTTTCTTTTATTAAAAAAAAAAATTATTTTATTCCATGGACTAGTTTTCTGCGGCCATCAGCGTTTTTAGTCCACCATTGGAATTTCAAGAATAACATTTTTGCGATTGCGATCTCATCGTATTCGATAGCAAAATGATTTTTTGAAATCCAAGTGGGCATTTGTGGACCATCGCCAATTTTTCGAGGGCGGAAATTCAAATTTTAATTTAAAACTCGAAATATTCTGTGGATCAAACTCATCGTAAATCTACATAGAAAGGCTCATTTCATAAAATCTAAAATTAATAATGAGTATAAATTTCTCAAATTAATATTTGGGACGTTTCTACATCTTTCTGATGTTTATTTTTTATATTTAAAATAATCTCAACCAAATTTTTTACAAAATCAAACTTCCAGAATGCTCATCGTCGTTGTGATTATCTTCTTCTGCTGTTGGACACCTTCCTATATTTGGTGGCTTCTGCTCATCGCTGGCGACTCATTTCAGGTGATCAAAAAGAAAAAAAAACATCATTCATAATTTTTGTTTCAAAATTCCATCGAATTTTCGATATTGATGAAACCGAAAATCCAATCAGCCAAAATGCTTGCAGAGCCTCAATTTGTCGGTCTGGAACAGCGATATCAACACATTCATCACGCTTCTCACCTATCTCTCCTCATGCACCAATCCAATAACCTATTGCTTCTTGAATAAGAAGTTCCGGAATGCGATCTACGCGACATTCGGAAGGAAGAAGAATATTCGGCATCATTTCCAGAAGGTCAGTTGACGCCGCTTCAGCAATATTTAGTTAATTACCATCCCCTCTAACAATATTGCCAACTAATTGCAATTAAACGCTCGCCGTTCTGTTTTGTTCGATTTCATTTCGTTTGATTCATTTTCTTGCGTTCCGCTTACCGTGTCTTCCAGGTCTACGTGCCAGTGAACGTCGGCGGCGCGGCAAACATCAAAGAAAAACCGCCAATGAACAGGTAGGTAATCATCGGTTCTCATAGGCTTTCAATTTGTTGCTATCAATGGAAATGTGAGATCGAGAGTGGTCTCAAATCAATAAATTTTTAGCTCGCAATCCGATACCGATTGGAATAAGGTTGGTTTCGAAGTGCCTCTGGAAGTGTCCCTAATTTCTTGTGACTCACAACAACAACCCATCGGGGTTTACTCTAATTATAAACTAATTATATGTATAACAATTAAGTGGAAAAGCAAGAGTAATTATCCACTTCTATCTCGAACTTCTACCCTCTCTATATATGGATGGAAATGCTCACTAATTTTAGTTATTTCAATCTCGACACAAATTGGCGCTGAATTGAATTGATGGATTTCAGATCAGTCTCGTCGAGCTTCAATCCACAACATCAAGTCGTTTTTAAGAGCAGCCGAAAAAGCTCAATTATCTCGAGAACCGTATGTGCTGCCGATGGCGCCCCCAACAATTTTTGAATTCAGATGCACTCGTCCCTTATTCATCATAATCGATTGAAGAAGGATGACTCGGATCCGCTTTTTTGAACGTGTCTTCTTTCAATCATTTTCTTTTTGTCATATTCAATCGGGTCTCGCCTTTCCTATTTTTTTTCCTAATTTTGATATGTTTATTTTACAGGTTTCGTTTTTGAATAAAATATACTCGTAATGATATTAATAGGGAGGGGGGGGGTCCGATGGTCAATGTGTTTTGATCTACTCAACGTCGATGTTGAACATGAAGCTGTAGAGATCATCGACGACCGAAATTGCTGAATAAGTTCGACTCATCGAATTGTTTGAAGATTGTCGAATTCTACCTTGAGATTCGGTCATTTCGATTAGGAATCGTATGAGGGCGTCAGTCATGAGCGCGAGGAATTTCATGTTCTGCTCGGTCATCATGTAAAGGCCGTCGCATTGGACGCAGTATTGGCGGACGCCGCGAAGGTTCACTGAAAAAAAATTTCGAATCATTTATGAGATGAGCAACCTTTTTGGAAATGCACGAATTTTTCAAATTTTCAAAAAAAAATTTTTAGGGTCTGCAATGTTTAAAAAAAATTATGTTTTTTCGGCCGGCCCGACTCATTTTTGTTACATTATCAATATTAATCAAATATTGATGAATTTCTATTTCCAAACTATTCAATTCGCGAAAAAACTAGCATAAAATTAATTACAATAATGAGTTAATTACTGGAATCGCATAATTGCCCATTTCAGATTTATTTTGTATCAAAAAATTACAAAAAATCATTAGAATTATTTCGAAAAAAAGCGCATGGTCATAATTTGCAAAGAAACTAATTATTTTAATCCAATTTCTTCGCAATTTTATTTTAATTCGACGCCGCCCGCGACGCATACGCAACGCGCCCAAAATTTTGCCAATTTGAATGGCGACGCTTTTTTTTCTGGGACTTTTAATCATTTTCCGGAAAATTTCATGAAAATCGATCTCTTTTAAACAGAAATGACATTTATTTTGAAAATTGAGGGGTTCAAATTTGGATGTGAAAGAATACAGAAAGTAAAGTCGGCGATAATTATAGAATTTTTTAATGCTCAACAAATTTCAGTATCAATTTTAGCAAGTTTTGTTGATTTTTTTTCTGAAAATATGTGTTAAAAATCTAACGAATTTCACCATTTCACCAAAAAAATGAGCGATCTGATCCGCGTAAATCGCCCCCAGCGGAGCCGCCGCGCACACTCAACCTACTGCTACAGTAACCGCGTTAGGCAAAACGGGACCCGCCCGGAAGATGACTCAAGATTTCATAGATTTTGCTTGGGTTTTTTTTTTACCGTTTTCACTCGTTTTTTTTTTCTTAAAATATGCCCGATGGAATACTTGACTCATTCTAGCAGCGTCCGACGATATAGCAACCACGCCCCAGCAGCAAACAGCCAGGCTATTCCAACACAACCCACTCTGGCGTAGGTTCGAAAATATACACAATCTATCCAATGAACCCCAATAATTACTAATAAGGAGGTTAAAATAATGAGGTAGTATTATAATGAATCCCCCGCTTGCAAATACGGTCGTAAGATGTGAATAGAGGATTCTCGTCCAATTTTTTTTTTGAAACAAGTCTCAATCTTCTTAGATTTTCTCATACATCTGATAATTGGGCCTACATAGAGATTTAATTGGAACGGGGTAAAAAAAGGCATAAACGAATTCCAAAAGAGCAATGAAATCTGACATTGATCCGATTTGCTCTGATTCGAATCGAATCATCAGAGCAGTATTTTTGAACGGCCGTCTTTCGCTATGGTCACATAGCGAATTTTTCTTCAATGAGCTATTTTGCAATTCTAACACCACGGAAATTGGATAATTGCCAAAAATTCGCAATGGTAGTGGTCTTTGCGAAAAAACTAATGGTGTAGATTTACGGGGCAAATCATAAAGATAAATTAAAGGCGCACACCTTCATCTAAAGCCAATTTGGTGTATTTCAATGAGGCTTCTACTAACCGAGATGTAAGCTTAATTTCAATTCTTCAATATGTGCATTCGTGAATTGACTTACGTGTATCTGTTAGGTAGATGGTCGGAATGTTCATTTTGGTTTGTTGCGAGTGAAAGAAGAATGACGAATGATCGGAGAACAGGTACGGATGAAGCCTAGAAATATTCTCATTTCTCATTTTTCTCCCAATTTTTATCAATTTCGATGTGCGTTGGGTCGTTAGTCGTATTACGTGATCTACGCAACTACAACACATCAGAGGATGTTAAATGAGCGGGTTAGAAGGTGCAAAGAATCGAACTTGTATAACCGATCAACTGTCGTGATGTTGGCGATGTCGATGGAGAGCTCGAGCATCCACGGATGGAATTGCCAGTCGGTCGAGAGCATCTCGCAAGACCTCGCATAGGATTTCGCGAATCTACAATCGAAATCAAATTCGGTTCGGTTCGACGAGACGCTGGCAACTTTTTGACGATCGGCTCGTCGGCTCCCAACCGGGAGGTGACTTGAATAAAATCACCCATATGCGAGTGCTCGTGAAGGCTTTGAGCCGCTTCGGGGAAATTTTGCTCGAACTCCGGCGGCATCGCCTGCGACGCCGGAAACGGATCAAAGTGTAGAAGGCCGTCGACGATGACCGAAGCGGCCACTTGGCAGCCGGTTCGTTCGAGAAGCGGTAGAAGGATGTCTTCGACGAATGCGTGGGAGCCGGCCAGCGCCTAGAATGATTTATGGAAAAACGATGCTGCGGACAATTTGATACCTTGTGCTTCATGTCGTAGAAGGCGTAGATGATTGAATGATCTCTTGAATAAAGGGTGTCTAAAGTCATTAGGACCCTCGCGGCTTCTATGACCGCAGCAACGCCGGATCCGTTGTCATCGACGCCTGAATCCAAGATGACGATTTTGATTCAATGAATTTTTGGATACCCGGATTATCCTCAAGGGTGTCATAATTCGCCGAAATCACCACAATTTGATCCATATTCGTGCCGAAATATCGGCTTTTTTGCACTGCTATCACATTGGCACCGATTTCATTCTGCAACAAAAAAATGCATTCTAGACTGTGGTGAGAGGAGCTCACCGATTCCTCATGAATGAACGTGTGGGTCATTGAGCTCAAACCGACGGCTTCGAGGGCTCGCCTAATTGCGCTACGCGCCACCGATTTTTCTGTCTCGTTGAACCTGCAACTCTTACAATGATATCCTGCTGCGGACAATTTCCTTTTTGAATTCCTTCTCGATTGCTACTTATATGTCCTAATTGTCACATAAATACCCAATTAAAATATCTGCAGCTAATTTCTATTGCCTTCAATTATCAAGCCGACAAAATTCGAGTGGTTAGACCACACTTAAAGGCGCATGCTTGGACCAACCTGGAAATGCTTAAAAACTTTGACAAATCGTGCTGCAATCGATCGAGATCGGATATCGTCGTCAATCCATGAATGGCAGTGCATAACCAAGCGAATACGATGAGGAGAAGGAAGTCGGTGGTCATGCTTGCCGTCAAACGGTTCAAATGCCGAAATGGGGGTCGAGGCCCCCCTGTGAATTATTTGCGTTTCAAAAACAAGACCCCCCGCCTCCTACCATCCTCCATTCGTCCACTAAATCTCCAAAAAGAAATTGACCGGATGTGTGTTGTCAGATATATCCGCGCGACATTGTTTGTGCTCTGCGAGCAAGCGAACGAGACGCACACACATAGACACATTGAGACAGGAGGAGAAGCTCGTTCACACACCGCCGTTATCAGAAACCGCGTTCGTTCCACTTGAGGAGGGGGGGGGGTCGATTGTATCATTTACAAACGACACCAACATGATACGTGACGGTCAAAGGTCAGAGGCTTGTGTCCAAATATGGAAGGGCTTTTGACCTGTTTTGTTCGTTGCAAGACCCTTGAGCTCCCCTGAAATTACCAATGTGTTTTCACATTAAAAAACCGGTCCCTGGAGAGTTTTTTATGAAACAAAATTTCAGAGAGGAGGTCATTAAGCCATCGAATTATCCTTCGCTTTTCCCCTTAGGGACCCATGCACTCAGGTTCTTCGATGTGGGACCCAAAATTGTCTCTCATGTCGCCTCAAGACCCATTACTGTCGAATTTTCACTTCTCATTCGTCTATCGGCTAGATTATGATTTATGGTACTTCGAAACATAAACCTTTCAAGAATTTCGAGGTGAGACCCCAACGTTGACAATTCGAAATACTTTTTTTGGGCTACCTGATCCTTCTTTGACATTATAAAGTGATTCGTATCGAGACCCTGCATACTGTAGGTAGCTTCTAATGTGGATTTGCAGACTCTTCTTTGTGGGACCCTCTAATAATTGTTAGGTCTTGCAAAGGCCCATAAAGTTCGCAGTAACACCGAAAAGAAATCCGGAAAGAGCGTTTCCGACGAAACTATTTTAAAATTCGTTGAAACCTATATTTATCGGGATTTTGTTTGCATTTTGGGAGGTCGTTTGATTTGATTGATACGCCGATCATCGACACCACTTCCTTCCTTGGACACATTCGGCCAGCTGCCAATGGGCGTCCGGAATTTTGAAAAAAAAAGAATTGTTTCGGAAATCCGCAGGTCAAACTGATTTTCGAATTAACCTGCAAACAAACAAACGAACAAACAAATTCAAACCGCTGATTTGTTGTTGTTGGAAGTGTGCTCAAGTGTTGTTGATCAACAATACGGAAAATTTTCATTAGTTCGGTGGCCGACAAAAGAAAAATGACAAGTAGCTGTGTTGAACCGTAATTAGAATTTAAAGGGAGACATGTAATTTCGAGACACCGGGGGAAAGGAAAAGCTAACAATTTTGTGAATCGGTCATTTGCTGGGATTGGCCGGCTCCGATGGCTCGCGGAGGTAGTACGTCCAGTAGAACACGTTGAATAGCGTGAAGACAACTGAAAATGTTCGAAGTCAATCTCTGACGATGTGGGGGTTTATTTTTTATCTATTGACAATTTAGGGGGGGGGGATAAAAGTTTTAAGAGGATTCCTGTTTGAACCTTAACTTGAAAATGAAAAAAACTAACATGGAAACAAGAATCTCGCGGCCTTGTCAATCGAAAGCGCTTTTCTCGAAAATTGCAATGACTTGAACATCAAATGCGCCGAATTCTTATTCAAATGCCCATAGTATTTCGTCGGGCCTTCGTCGTAATCCGAATCGTAGTCAGCTGGAATTTCAATGGTCGCCAAATTTTCACAAAAACGAAAAGATATAAATACCAATAATAGGTTTGCCGCCATACGAATTTTGAATCTTCTCAGCCATGTGATTGTACTTGTTCGCCCTCCTCATATAGCTATTGACCAGAGCGAATTCCAGAAGGACGCCGAATATGAAAAGCATGCAAACTGAACATTTATTTTCAATTGAAATCCAATTAGAATCATACCTCCATAAAAGTAATCAATGGCTTTTGCGTAGGAGACGGCAGGAAGTGCATAGCGGATACCATTTCCCTAAAAAATAAATTAAATATAGAGCTCAAGTTCAATTATGAAGGCAGCTGAACAATTTTTAATTTCGAATAAATATTTATAGAGTATTTTAAAAGAAAAAAATGAAAATTCAAAGAAAAACGTGCGAAATTTTGGGAGAAAAATTTAGTAATTCGAAAAATTGGACGCGTGTGCACTTATGCGTGACGGTGTATGCACAATTTTGAACACCGTAGCAGTGACAAAAATGCGATTTAAAAATAATAGAACTGCAACATTTTTTTCAAAAAAAAATGTTCGCATTCAGGTTTTGTTGATTGTATTTTTAAAAACCAATTAAAAATTTAAATGAGATTTCGAGTGAACGTGAAATAAAGCGTGAATATCTTCGAAAATCTCGGTGCAAATCATTCGTCGAATCGCACCTGTGTGCTCAGCGTGAGCAATGTGGTAAACGAGAGGCTGACTCTCGCCGGCACCGCGCGTCGATCAATCCAAAACGAGACCCATGAGATGGCGACGATGAGGCCGGTGGGAATATAGCTTTGCACCAAGTGAAATCCGATAGCTCTTTTCAGTTTGAGCATTCCCAAAAGGCAGCTGAAATCGCCTGCAATTCGGAATAATTCAGGATTACGGTATGACGCGGTTTTCAATGCACCAATTCGAGACGAATTATGCGTTAGGGTGTACAAGAAGACACCCTGGCAATAATCCTTATCAAGCGCCTTTATATGGTATTCCGGCAGATCGATGTCGGGATTGAAGCGGATCGGATCGTTGGGGAACCATGTGACATTCATCTCCTCGCGAACATGCGCGTCTAAACAGACGATTGAAACTCGATGAAGCTTCAAATCTCAGCTTACAGCTTATCACTTTGATATAGCATGTCTGATGATCCAGTGGATAATTCTTGAGATCCAAATTGCAGGCAAGATTCAGAGTGACTCGAGTTCCATAGGAAATGGTCCCTGCCGGTGAGATGAACATGTTGAAGTTATGGACTGTCACCTGAAGGATCATCGCTCGGATCAATATGGACCTGATGGCTACCTTGTGAAAGTATGCGGTTCTCGCGTTTGCAAAATATAAGTCAGGAAGCCATAGCTTATTAAGAAGGTTGACATCTTCAAAAACGAGACGCGTTTTTAAAGGCGCATACCGTATGCCTTATTACCGTTTATCAAGATATAATGAGATTTGTTGTGTTTCATCGAATCGTCCTGCCAGCTCATATACAAATACATATCCATATCGAATGTCTTGAAATGAGCTATTTGATGTGTGCGGTCCAGTTTAAAGGCGCATACCATTTCGGTGGCCCGAAAATTGCCGAGGCTCTCCACGTAGAACCCGAAGTAGACATTGAGCGGACCATTGCCGCCATTGGCTGGCATTGGCTTCAGATCGGTCTCGAATATTGGATTTATGCATTCCGTTATTCTGAATTGGTTCCCTTACATATATCTTGGAGCATAAAAAAATTTTTCCATTGTGTGAATGGACAATTTTTTTTTCAAAAATGTCGAGTGCACTTTTTGATGAAAACACGATTGTTGGCTATAAATAAATTGGAATCTTCTGTTTTGCTAGGGACCATAAATTGCGATATAGGTTGGATTTTCAAGATTCTCATAGTTTCACAACGTTTTGCGATCGTTTCGATGTATTATGCCGTTTTGCCGAAACCCGCGAGTTGTCCGCAGAAGATTCACATAATATATTTTCATTTTCCCCAAGTTTCTCTTGATGACAGAGTTGATTGTATAATACGAAAATGACGTGGCAAATTGTGCTCGACTCAAATCGCGGCAAGACCCCAATTATTTTGACAATGGTAAATCTGATTGTTGAGAAGCAATCGCGCTCTATTGCACGAGTCAAAAATTACAAAATTCCTCGATGAGCTGAGCATCTCGCCACCCGGCTATTTTTGAATATTTCTGCTCACCGAAGCGTATTCGAGTCCGGAAATTCGAGGCTGAGAGTGAAAGCGACGAATCGCAATTGAATATCTCCTTCACCTCGTCCTCTCTCTCTCTCTCTCTCTCTCTCTCTCTCTATTTTTTTTCCTGTTCCTGATTATCGAATACGTATGATTTGGCTCGCTCGCGTCATCACAAAGAAGCGCACCATGCACACGTTTGAACATTTTGATCTACTCAACTAATTGCGAGGATTATGAGAAAAATTGAAACTTGAATTTTTTCATAGAATTTTATTAATCATTGTTTTTTTGCGAACACATTTTTATTTTTTAAAAATCATCTGCGGACACTTTTGGCGATAGAGCGCACTTACCGTATTAGGAATATTAATAAGACGGACGATTGTAGCATTGGATTGGGCGTTTTTTTTTTTGTTATTGTTGTTAGATTCTAGTGCTCACGGACGACACAGATATGCACACACGCGAGATGGGCGTGGCCTAAAATAATTGGAAGATCGAACATTGCGGATAAACGAGAGACGTGAAAGATGGAAGTGGATGAAAGGGGAAGAGCTGGGGGAAGGAGGGGAAGTGAAGAGAATAATCAAATTATTCTGAAAATGAACAAGCTTGTCAAAGGAGTTCCGCGAAAATTGTCCGCAGATGCACTTTGCTATTCGATCACTCCTCATCGGATTCTCGTCGAAACTCTGCCCTTCCCCAATAGTCGTATTACTGTAGCAATTGTTCAAGCTGTGTTCCATGGAGAAGTCCAACGAGAGTTGTAGAAGAGCGAAAATCGACTCAGAAAACGAATTAGTTGAGTTATGCGCCTTTAAAGTAAAGTAGCGACAATTCAAAAAATTGGAAGATTTTTGCAAATGTTCGGACCAAATAAAAATTTTTCTTTTAAAATTTTCGAAATTGAAGGGGAAAAATTGAAATGTGACGATTTTCCATTCGAGACCTTTGTTGTTTCAAAAAGAAAAAAAAAACGAAAATCGCTTCTTCTCCGCATTTTTATACATTTGTTTTGAAATCAACTTCATCGGCGGGTCTCGAAGCGAAAATTAAACAAATTAATTGGTGCGAAATTAATTCAATTAAATCGAATATCAAGGGACTCAAAATTGGCGCGTCTGGGCTCATGAATAATTGAGAATCGTCTTTTCTTTTAATATTCCGACAATTTTTCAATATTTCGCCATTATTTTTTTTGCCGACGCCGAGAAATTTGAGAAATTCATTTGTTGTGGAATATGTCTAACATTTCAAAACACGCCGATTTCCGAAAAGTAGGTAAGCTGGCTTCGAAAACAATACCACATCGGAAAATCAAAAAAATCAAAAATTTTGGGGATTTTTAAAGGCGCATTCGTTCGTGGCAAGACACAACACACAATTGAATAGTTTAAAATATCAAAAATTCAAAAAAAAAACAAAGTTTGCCAAAAGTTTTTCAAAATTTTAAATTGAGCAAATGCGCTCCATTGAACACACCGTAACCACATATTTAAAGGGACATGTAGTTGGCGTCAAAAATGGCCTCGTGAAGGCTTATTTTTCAATTTTCACGTGACCTATATAATTTTTTGTCTTCGCAATGGTCTTGCACGGACTAACCGGCTAATTTTCATTTTAAAGGTCCTTCCGCAAATTTTTAATTTCAATTATATTAAGAATTCAAGGAAATGATATATTCATCAGGAAAAATTGCACAAAAAATTTAAAAATACGGCCTTTGTGACGAGACCATTTTTAAAGGCGCACGCTCGCACCAGAGAAAGTGGCAGTTCACGCAAACCTCTGTTCAAATTCAAAATTTCGATTCGACACACAGAAATAATTGCTACCGTACTCTGTGATGTCATCAAAACATATAATTAATAGGTGGCGAAAAAAAACGGGAAAAAGAGTATGAAAATTTTCATTCTCATGAATTATTCGTCGACGTCGATTTTTGATGTTATTTGGACGAAAAATAATAATAAACAAAACGCATTTGATGATCAATGTTTAAAGGCGCGTTTGAGAGTACGGTAGCAGTCGTTTTAATGTGTCAGCTATTCACCATTAAATTGATATTGTTTTCTCAGTATTTCGTTGTCAAATCGAACATTCAGACAGAATAGAATTTTCCCGAAAATCTCATTTGGCTTCTTGAATTCCATGCGAGACCAATAATTAGATTTGACTGCAAAAGTTCAAATATTGTTGAAGACGGAAACGAGATGGGGAATTTCTTTTCTTTTTCTGTTGGGCAAAAAAAAAATGGAAGAAGGAGGAGAAGCAAGAAGAAATACACGGAAAATCCTGGTGCAAACGGAATGCTATGATTATGAGAATTGCGAATTTCGGGGGGTCCGGGTGACGAGAATCGCGAAACAGTCGAAAAGCAATGAAGCGAAATTTGCATTCTGCTAAAAATGAAATCGAATCGACTCATGGAAGAACAAATTGTGAATGAATTAAAGGTACCAAAGTGGCACAATTCGGCCACCACAATTGGGTTGCCACAATTCAGCCACCACAATTCGGCCACAAAAATTCGGCCACCACAATTCAGCCACTACAATTCGGCCACCACACACGGCGTTCACACTAGTGGGATTTACATGAAAAAAAGATTTTTCTCAATGGAGCGCACTTGCAACTTAGCGCTATTTCGGTGCATAAATTCAACAAATTAAATTTGTAAAATAAATTAGAAACATTCTCAAAAAAAAGAACGATTAGTTTTTATATTTCTTCCGGTGGATCAGATTCACCGCAATTTTTGGTCTATTTAGTTATAAATTAAATAAGTTATTTAAATTTATATCGGACCTTTTTTTTTGAACATATACATAACATTTTTAAATGATAAAACCATCAATTAAACGAATGAAATACTACACAATCGAATTATGATATAAAAATTGATGATATGTAGCAGATGAATTCAATGCGAGTAGATAAAGACGCAAGACATTTGGAAAATTGCAAAACTATAGTTTTGCAATTTTCGGATCCGCCAGCTTTTGATTTTCGAGCTCAGGGATGAAACCGCGAATTCGCGGAGGGGACGGGAGCGAATCTCTTGCAACTTCTCCGCCGAAATGACACACTATTTACATTTAAAATTTGCAAAAAAATTAAAAATAAACAACTATGAAATGTTTTTCCAAGTGTTACCAAACATAATCGTATAAATCAAACCATATAATACAGTGCTGGCCATAAAGAAATCAAAAAATGGTTTTTTGAGCATAACTTTTCTGAAAGTAGTCCAATCACTCTGAAATTTTTAGACAACAAATAAAACAATAAAAGTGATAAATTCTACACATAAGTTGTTAATTTTTTCGAAAAATTAAAACGAAAAGATCAATTTATTAAAAATCAACAGAAACCGGTTTTAAACAAGATCTAAAGTGATCTTAAAGTTGCAAGCAGGTAATGAAATGATGTACGCAGGCTTAATACTTCGTGGCAACGCCTTTAGCATCGATGACAGCCTGACATCTTCTCGGCATTGACTCCAGAAGTGTGGTAATGACGGACTGTGGGATGGCTTTCCACGCAGCTTCGAGTTGAGCGAATTTTTGATCTGCATTGTGGGCTCTGACCCCATTAAGACGTCTCTGGAGCTTCTCCCACATGTGCTCAATCGGATTTAGGTCCGGGGATTGGCTTGGCCACTCAAGAACATCCACACGGCGCCGTTGAAACCAATTGCGCACATGAAGTGAAGTATGTTTTGGATCGTTATCCTGCTGGAAAACATATGCACGACCCACGAACCGAAGCGCTCTTGGTCGCGTTGTCTTTTCCAGCACGTCCTCATATTGGAAACGATCCATCGTTCCATTGATTCGTCTCAATGGCCCCATACCACTCGCGGAGAAACATCCCCATACCATTACTGAACCACCCCCATGTTTGACCGTTGGAAGTTGGTACTTCGGCTGATACCTGGTGCCAATAGGGCTGCGAATCCATGTAAGACCATCACTCCCAAACAAATTAAGTTTAGATTCGTCGCTTCAAATGTGCTTTGCCCATTCTTGTGGTCCCCAGTGAAGATGAGCCTTACGCCACTCAACTCGATGTTTTCGAGTTTTAAGACTAATGAATGGTTTCTTCACTGGCCTTCGCCCATGGAGCCCCATCTCTTGCAAACGTCCACGAATGGTTCTCTAGATGGCGCTGGATCGTTTGGAGAGTTCACAATCATCTGGATCATCGTTGCGTTTCTCTTAGGATCTTCTACAACGGTCCGACCAATGTTGCGATCCATGGTTCGAGTTGTTTCACGCGGTCTTCCAGGAGACTTTCGAACAATACATTTGTTCTAGACATTTAAAATTGTTCAAATATGTTTTAAAAATGTTTCCTGTTCATCAAATCGTTTTAGGATTCGCGAAATAGTTGAAATGGATAGGGCGAATTGCTGAGCAAGCATTTTCGCGGATGTCCCTTGTTTGA